TCCCCCTACCCACATAATATCGCTACTCCCACTACTGCTCCTGACGGTTTTGTCTGTCCTGGATTCCATGAGCTGAGAGCTCTTATCTGTACCAATGTATGTACTCTGGTCTAGCCGGATTTGTAAGGTAGAACTGGGTCATGGTAGTGGGGGGACAGGGGAAGCATTCAGGGACTAGAGGAATGGTGGGTGTTTCGTCAGTGCTATACTGCACCCTGGTTGAATCGTCCCCTCCTTGTAACCCTTCTGTGGGGGGATGTCCAATTGTCTACAGATGTGGGCTTTGGGTCTCCACTCCCACCCCGCCTCTTTCACATCGATATAATAGTTTGTTTTGGATCTTTAGATACCTGACACCTGCTCCCATCGACAGCTCATGATCACACAGGCTGGTGTGCTTCCTCCATGTGGGCTCATTTGCTTCCCTGCTGGGTGGCTGCTTGTTCCACTCCAAGCACAAGGCCGTTCTGTGGCATTCCAGCCTCACTTTCCCCGGTGAAACGTTTCCTGTGTGCTGTCCGTCCCAGGCTAAGCTTTCGGTAGAGCAGTTGACGGCTGGGGAGGCATTTTGAATGCGTTCAATGGGGATTGCCTTCCTATGCAATGATTGTTGCTTTTCTGTTGTATGACGAATGGGATGCGGTTGTAAAACAATTTTCTTTCAAGCTTCGACTATTTCTCGAACCACTGAAACTGCTGCCAAGATAATCTTTATACCTTCAACCAGAAATGTCCCCCTGAAGCTTTCTTGAAACCAAACAGTGGTTTAGTTACCTAGAAAGAGCGTCTGCCATGAGCATCGAGCTCTCGTAAGATCTCCCTGGGTGGGATCACCACCGCATGGCTGGCAGTTAGTCACGCTTGGTGGCTTGTGTGTTGCTGTGACGGCAGCAGGGCCACCCCTGATGGATGGGTCTCCGAGAAGCTTCCAGACAAAAACAGATCATGGGAAAGGACTGTGGCGATTGACTTCTCAAACACTGGCCAGTGAAAGCCTTATGAGCAGCAGTGGGACCTGGTCTGAGATAGAAGAGGCCTCAGGCTGCGGGGCATTCCAAACAGCACTGGAGAGCTGCTCCTCCAAGTAGAGCGCATGACCGATGTGGAAGGTACAGAGCCTTTGAGACCTTCACTTGAAAAGAAACAGTTGCAGACACCCACTCGTATCTGAGTGTGAGCTAGCAGAAGTATGACTCTAGGAACATTGGAAGTCATACAGAAATGATCAAGAGCAATACCCTAGGCTTTGCTGAGCTGAAATGGACTGGCATCGGTCAGCGTGACCCCGTCATACGGTTTCTTATGTTGAGAATGACCAATTCAAGAGGAATGATATCACATTCATCATCCAAAAAACTATTTCCAGATCAATTTGGAAGTACAGGCTGTATGTAATAGTATCTAGATGCCCGCAAGGAAGACCATTCAGTACAACTATTACTGAAACTTAACATGCCGACCATTCATATCAACGATGAGGAAATTGGAGATTTCAAACACTTCAGCAAGTCTGAACTTGATCAAACATGCAGTCACAATGCAGTCATAATTACTGGTGATTGGAAACAAAGAAGAAAGGTCAGCAGTTGAAAAATACAGCCTTAAATTAAAATAAATAAATAAATAAATAGAAATACAGCCTTGGTGACAGAAATGACATTGGAACTCATATGATAGAATTTTGCAAGACCAATGGCATTCATTGCAAATACTTTTTTTTCAACAACATTGAATTGGTGATTATACACATTGAGATAGTTTATTGTGCCCGCCTGGCCAATAAACACAAGTAGGATTAACTGAAGGGCAGAGAGATAAATAGCTTGGTGAGCCTTGTCTTTCTTGTCTCTCGCTCTGTGATTATCGGACCAGTGTGCGGCTGCCTTGCTTGTTCTGTGCCTCAATTTAAAGGGTACACTACCTGTGGGATGCCTAGCCTGTGGACTGTGTCGCTGTAAGTTGAGGTCCCTTTAAGACATCTCTGGAGCTGGGGACTGGTGATTAGTGACCTGGCTGGCAGTTGGTGACCTGCCTTGTGATTGGCTGCTGTGCTGACATAGCCTAGCTCTCTCTATAAGTAGAGGAAGATCGGGCAGCAGCCTAGACTTGAAGGACTGCTAGTCTCTCACAATTCTCTCTCACTGGAGTGAGTTGCAGTGAGCCATTTGTAGTGCTTTATAATTTGACCGTTCATTACTTATATTATATATCTAAGTATCTTTATAAATAAATATATTATCAGCAATTTGGTTTTATCTCTCTAGAGAACCTTGTCTAACACACACATAGACCTCTCCAGATAGAATGTCTAGGAATAAGATCAGCTACATCTGTGGGAAGTTGAGGCAAAGGAGAAATTTAATATCATCAGTCATGTGGGGAGATGAGTCACTTAGGGTTCAGTATAGCAATAATGAAACCCACAACCTTCCTCTAGTTCTTAAACGCTTCCTCCCCCAACTACCAGGACCCCAATTGTGCCTTGCAGACCTGGCTAGACCAGATGATGCACAGCGGTACAGATGGGAATTGGAAACGCAGGGAGCCTAGGACAGATGAACCCCTCAGGACCAGGGGTGACAGTGGCGATACCAGGGGGGAAGGGGGGTGTAGAAAGGGGGAATGGATCACAGGGAGCTACATATAACCTCCTCTCTGGGGGATGGGCAGCAGAGGGGTAGGTGAAGGGAGACGCCGAGCAGTGTAATATAAGATATAATAATAATTTATAAATTATCAAGGGTGCATGGGGGAGGGGGGCGGGCGAAGGGAGGGGGGGGGAGGAAAATGAGCTGATTCCGGAAACCCAAGAGGCAAGCAAATTTTGGGAATGATGAGGGCAACAAATGTATAGATGTGCTTTACACAATTGATCTGTGTATTGTATGAGCCCCAATAAATTTATTTTTTAAAAATATATCATCAGTCATAACAAAACCAGAGGCTTCCTTCAGAACAGACTGTCAATTGCTGATATGCAAGTTCAAGTTGAAGATGAAGACAATTAAAACAAGTCCACAAGAGCCAAAAAAGGGTCCATTTGATTTTTAAAACCATCTATCTCAAGAGTAGGTTTGAAGCTTTGAACTCTAAAGGCTAAAGACCAGAGAAACTGTTGTAAGACTTCAAAGTCACTAATATGATGAAGCCCAAGGTCAGTTTTAGCAGTCTGGAAAGAATGGAAAGACAACAGTGACTATCAGAAGAGAATCTGCATTTTGCTCTTGAACAATGGCGTTGTCCGATCCAGTCAGTGGAGGTGCTTTCTAGCCGTTGTGCTAGATCCAGCTCCCTGGATCTCAATCAACTGGAAGAGATCCATGTTCGTGCCAAGTCCAAAGAAAAGTTATCCAACAGAATGTAAAAATTATCAAACAGTATTATAGCTATCATAAACAGGTTCAATTTTACTCAAGATAATTTTTTTAATGATTGCAGTACATTGATAGGGAACTGTCAAATTCAAACCAGGTTCAAAAATGGATGTGGAATAAGGGATATCATTGTTGATATCAGATGGACCTCGGCTGAAAGCAGAGAACACCAGGAAGATGTTCACTTGAGTTTTATTGACTGTGCCAAGGCATTCAACTGTGTGATCATAACAAAGTATAGATTACATTGCAAAGAATGAAAATTCCAGAACACTTCATTGTGCTCATGTGGGACCAATACATGGACCAAGAGGAAGTAGTTCAAACAGAAGAAGGGGGTGCTATGTGGTTTAAAATCAGGGTGCATTGGGGTTGTATCCTTACACCAGACTAATTCAATCTGTGTGCTGAGTAAATAATCCAAGAAAGCCGGGCTGCGTGAAGAACACAGTGTGAGAATTGAACGTAGCCTCTATGACAACCTGCACTCTGCCTAGGACATAACCTTGCCGAACACAGGGAAGACTTGAAGGGCTTACCCATGAAGGTGAGTTGACATAGTTATGGATACAGAGCAAAGACCCTGGATTACGTCACAATAGAAAGAAAACAGAAATCTTCACAATAAGCAACATCTCGATAAACAGAGAAAAGGTGGAAGTGATCAATACCCATGAAAGCAACAGTCCAGAAATCAGACCTTTAATGGCTTAGAAAGCAAAAGGCAGTTTTGAAGACTAAGGAGTGCCTGACCTAAGCCCCAGTGTCAGGTCCAATCACGTCATGTGCATGCAGAAGCTGCTCATTCATAAAGAAGAGTGAACATTGGCTAAGAATTTTAAATACAGCATGGACTGCCAGAAGAATAAGCAAACCTGTCTTGGAAGACGTAGAGACAGAAGCAAGGACGGTGAGACTTCATCTCTCATGCCTTGGACGTGTCATTAGGAAGGATGTCCTGGAGAAAGGACAGTGAAAGGGGGGAGACGGGCCGACCCAGTGGCTGCAACCGGGGGCTCAAACCTAGGCAGGATTGTGAAGATGCTGCCGGGCCAGGCAGGGCTTCGTGACACACAAGGTTGAATCAGAACTGACCCAACAGCCTCTAACAACCACAAAATAGATCACAGTGACAACCATTCGAAAGATTAGATAAGGAACTTTGTAGTCCTTTATCAGTAGATTCTCCAGGAATGACCACTAACCCCTATTACACTGGTCCTCGCAAATCCCTTTTCTATTAAAAAAAAAAAGATTTGTGACAAGAGCTTGTGTCATGAATATTCCTCTTTAATGTTTTTTCTTCCAAGAACAGACAGACAGCAGGGCAGACACTGACGCTGTGCCAATTGTCCATCCACAGGTGTTGCTGAAGGACTGCAGGAGAGGAAACCTCTGTGCCCTGAGAACGGGCTTCAGGCGGACGCAGGAGAGACAGAGATGCTCCGGAGAGCAGTGGAGGACTATTTCTGCCTCTGTTACGGTACAGTGCTCGTTAGGCATTCATCCTGTAAACCGCTTAGTTTGGAGCCGGATGGATGAGTTCACAGGCGTAGCTGCAGATTCTTTTACTGGGTGTAGCTATAAAAACTTGTTTTTGGTGTTTTAAAGCCCACATTTTCATGATCTGAACATCCAGTTCTTAAGTGCCGGGCTAATGTTCTCCTAGAAGGCAGCTTCATCTCGTCTGAGCCATCAAGCCTTCCCGATTGACCGGATTCGGTCGCTGCTCCGTTTCATGGCGGGCCCGTGGGATTAGGGAAGGTGCTCACTGTTGTTGATTCATTAACACCCTCGCCCCTCGCTTGCTTGAGTCTCCACGGGCATTCAGAAGGGACTAAATAAACAGAAGGCCTACCGGGGCCAGGTGTTTTAACAACTGTTGTTATTGCTTACTGTGGAGTCAATCCTACTTCCTGGTGACCTTAAGGGGCTTCAGGAAGTTCATGGAAAAAACAGAATGAAAAGACAATAGAATTTCCCCATGAACTTTCTGAAGCCCCTTCTGAGAGCCCAGTGAAATGCGGCCCAGTCCTACGTCGCATTTGTGACTGTGGCCTGCTTGAGATCGTTGTTGTGGTTATTAATCCAGGGGCCCTTCATGCGCACTGAGGGCTTCAGGTTCCACCGAGCCTATCCTTTCCTTTCGATCAGAATACAAATTAGTGGGGCGGCTGGTAGACTTCACTGTCGTAGAAGCACCTTCGCCTCCCAGGGCCCACTGTGTCGTTCCTGGAGAGCTCTACACATTGTATCCCTTGTACCGCCCTGTGAGCATTTGACTTTGGGGTGCCTCAGCATAGGGAGGGTCTCACCTTAACTTGTCCTCTGTGAACTGGGGCTGCGGCCCCTCAGCTCTTGTCAGCTGACACAAAGCCAGATGGTGATTTGAGGCCATGCTGATGTCCTCGCTTGTACACAGCAGTGCTGCCCTAGTTCATGGGGTGCGATGGGATGACCCCCATCCTCTCGGACTGCCGTTGAGATGACCAAGGGGGTTCTGGGGTGATGCCCCAGAGGGTGATGCCCCAAATTGTATAACCTCCGAGACAATGGGGGGGAAGGCTTGGTTTCCCCTCTTGCATGAATGTTTTCTTTCTTTTTTTTCTCTTTATTTTAATAAGTCATTTTATTGGGGGTTCTTGCAGCTCTTATAACAATGCATACATTAATTGCACCAAGCACATTTGTACATAAGTTTCCATCATAATTTTCTTTCTTTTTTAACCATTTTACTGGGGGCTCATACAACTCTTTCAAGCACCTTTGTACATTTGTTGCCATCATCATTTTCAATACATTTTCTTTCTACTTGAGTCCTTGGTATCGGCTTCTCATTTATCCCCCTCCCTCCCCCATGAAACCTGATAATTTATAACTTATTATTTTTTCATGTTTTATACTGCCTGATGTCTCCCTTTACCCACTTTTCTGTTGTCCATCTCCCTGGGAAGGGGTTAT